GGCACAGTCAGAAAGCAACACCTCATTAATTCTTATAGAGTTCAAAACATTTTTATGCTGTTTATTGCATACTAAGGAAATGGTTCCTCTGATTACATTGTCTCCCACTTGTGACTGCATGACCACTAATCTCCCCATAGCAACCAAACTGCACTTGTGGCAATTACACTATTTACATTGGGTAGTTTGCCGGACAGCCCATGGGGTGGTTCCAGCTGACCTACTGCTGTGGCATCAAAGATGGGAAATGGCTACAAAGCAGCTCATAAAGCCTAACAGTCAAACTTTACACTCTGCTTACAGACAATTGAGTGCTTAAAGCTTTGTCACCTGGGAGGATGACATGGGATTACAGAGTATGGCTTCTAAAGCAATGGATGGAGCCCACCAACTAAGTATTATCTAATACACCTCTAAGTATAGTTTACCCAATTACTTATGTGAGTAACATTTATGTTTTAAAACATTCTTCAGTATGACTTGGTATCTGGAAACAGCACCATATAAACACGAAGGACTCTGTGGAATAATTAAGATTTCTCCAAGTGCATCCCAAATCTAAGTTTCATCTTACTGTGGTTGAAAGGAAGAGAAAAAGCACAGAGGATTTCAGACTCCACTCTGACTCTTCCTCTATTTTGGGAAAAAGTGCATGACATTAAAATCTTCACTGATAATATCAGACTCAAACCCTCAAACTGCAGATGAGTGATTCCTATGCCTTTTTAGAAAGATTTACATCCAGATGACACGAGACACTACAACTGCACTTCTTGATAGGTCAGGATTAATTTACGAAGAATGAATTGTCAACGCCTTTCACTATTTAAACTTCTAATCAAGACAGAGACACACAGCTGGCCTGTGAAGTTAATTTTAAATACCGCTTTTGAACAAGGATACAGATCTACTCGCACACTCAAAAGTATTGAGAGCTCTTTTAGTGTATATTGTCACTTTGTTCAAACATTTAACTGTAAATATAGTTAATAACTGGTTCAGTTGCAAATTAACATACTGTCAACTGATTTTGGTTTGATTTTACATAGAGCACCTAATTCTAAGCAAAAATATATAGAACGGCTTTAAAAAAGGTAATGTACATAATTGTGATCCTATGTTACACTTCAGTTGAACAGATGCCTGCATTACGCAGTGGGAACAAGAAACTTTGACAAAGCAAAGAGTTCATTTACCCACAGGACTATAACCCACATGGTCCCAAACTTTTCTTTTTTTGGACTGATGACATGAAATCCTCAATCTTCTAAAAGGGCAAGAAGTAAGATCCAGGGAACTACAGGCCGGTCAGCCCTACCTCCATCCCGGGAAACATCATGGAGCAACTCATTCTAGAGGTCATCATCAAGCAAGTGAAGGAAAAGAAGGTTATCAGGAGTAGTCAATATGGATTCACAAAGGGGAAATCATGCTTGACCAATGTGACAGCTTTCTACAATGACATGACTGGCTGGGTAGATGAGGGGAGAGCCGTGGATGTTGTCTACCTCGACTTCAGCAAGGCTTTCGACACAGTCTCCCATAACATCCTCCCAGGGAAGCTCAGGAAGTGTGGGCTGGATGAGCGGTCAGTGAGGTGGATTGAGAACTGGCTGAATGGCAGAACTCAGAGGGTTGTCATCAGCGGCACTGAGTCTAGTTGGAGGCCGGTAAACAGTCTTTATCACCTGGATTCAGCACAAGCTTTTAAGCATTTGCAGTAAGTGATGATGAAGTTGACCATGAGCCAGCAGTGTGCCCTGGCTGCCAAGAAGGCCAATGGGATCCTGGGGTGCAGGAAGAGGGTGGCCAGCAGGTCGAGGGAAGTTGTCCTCCCCCTCTACTCCGCCATACTAATGCCCCATCTGGAGTACTGTGTCCAGTTCTGGGCTCCCCAGTTCAAGAAAGATGAGGAGCTACTGGAGAGAGTCCAGCGGAGGGCTACAAGGATGATGAGGGGACTGGAGCATCTCTCCTATGAGGAAAGACTCGTCAAGAGAGTTGGGCTTGTTCAGCCTGAAGAAGAGAAGGCTGCGAGGGGACCTTATAAATGCTTATAAATATCTTCAGGGTGAGTGTCAGGAGGATGGGGCCAAACTCTTTTCAGTAGTGCCCAGCGACAGGACAAGGGGCAATGGGCACAAACTGAAGCACAGGAAGTTCCGTCTGAACATGAGGAAGAACTTTTACTTCGAGGGCGACAGAGCACTGGAACAGGTTGCTCAGAGAGGTTGTGGAGTCTCCTTCTCTGGAGATATTCAGTACCCGCCTGGACGAGGTCCTGTGCAGCCTGCTCTGGGTGACCCTGCTTCGGAGGGGGGTTGGACTAGATGATCCCCAGAGGTCCCTTCCAACCCCTAACATTCTGTGATTTGTGAAATACATAGTAATGTATTTGTACCAAGCACAAATACAGGCTGGGTGGAGAACAGATTGAGAGCAGCCCTGAGGAGAAGGACTTGGGGGTACTGGTGGATGAGAAGCTCAACACAACCCGGCAGCGAGCGCTTGCAGCCCAGAAGGCCAACCATATCCTGGGCTGCATCAAGAGAAGCGTGGCCAGCAGGGCCAGGGAGGGGCTTC